TACACGGTGGTACGTTATCCGGGATGTGCTCGGGTTTCAATAGCCGGTAGTGGCGATCATGTACACTCGGGCACAGCACCAAGAGTTCAGCACTTAACTTTTTGCATGCATGTGTTTATGGCTGATTTTGATCTGTCATCAGCTGCAAATGTGTTCGCCCCAACCTACCATGTGTGTTTGACCACACATCCATTGCCCTTCGCCTCCTGGACAAGGTGGAGAGTCTCCTTGACGATGCGGACCTGTCGATCGAGCTTTCGCGGGAAAAGTTCGAGTCTCTCAACGACGAGCTGTTCACCAGGTGAAGCCATAACGAAACAACAAAGAAAAAAAAACTGGGATGTCGGAACTCCGAACAGCCTGCTTACTACTCGTCCCAAAGCGTCTCTGAAGCGATCACGAGGCCTTTTTGATTCTTGCATAAGGATGTTGTACCTGACCGCGGAAGACGTATGTTCTTGGGCGAGGTAGCGCGGCAGGTGCGAGCATCTTTGAGACACTCACACACGCTACGCGCCCTGTTTTGTCGCACCATCTTCTTGGAGTCGTCCCTCCATCTGACGCCTTGCGACTCGAAATCTTCGTCCCCCTCACCGCGTGCTCATGGGTGCGTTTTGGTGCTCTTGACTGACCCACTTGCTGCCCACAGGTGCATCAACACGGTCACCACCGTGCTGAAGGACGCGTCGCTGACGATCGGCGACGTGACGGACGTCGTTCTGGTCGGCGGGAGCACCCGAGTGCCCGCCCTCCAGGACAGGCTCAAGGCGCTTTTCGGCGGCAGGATCGAGCTGTGCCGAAGCATCAACCCTGATGAGGTGCGGTGCGGGGCGATCGATGCATTTGCGTTGCGTCTTGGCGGTGTTGTGTTGTGCAGTGCTGAAATGTGTTGTTGTTGTTGTTGTTGTTGTTTTCTTCACATTAAAAACCGTTCTGATCTCTCTCTACCAAGTACCTTCGAACGTCCGTACTGATCCAACACTCGACGCGGTCGATTCCCGTGGTCGCAGGCTAACTTACCGTAACAAGGTAGTTACCCCGGTTCTTGCCTTGTTTCCCATAGAGTTGTGTTCGTGTCCCGGAGCGGTGTGGCCCTCCATCTCTGGACTCTCTCCTTCCCTCTCTCTGGGGCATACCCCCACGGCGTGCGGCCACTCCGCCACCCTCACCGTGCTCTCTGCTGCTGCATAGCCCCGGTGTCCAAGCCGGGGCGTCAGGATCCAGTCTTATTTTGCAGCTACCAAAGCTGGCGGCTAAGGAGCTACCCCGATCTCACGACAGCAGTGATTCCCAACCGCCAAACTCAGGATCCCCCTCTAAACAGTGCTAGGGACCGTATAGCCGTCGTTGCTGGGTGGTCTTTCGAGGTCTAGATCCCACGTGCGGAACCTTGGCCTACCCCAGGGATGGGGGGGGCAGGCCGGGGAGGAGAGGGTGTGTAGTATGTGTGCGTGCGTTCTGTTGTGATGAACGGTTTTTGGTGGCGTGTTCGCTGGCGGTGGGGCGAGCTGTGGCGGCCGGTTTGTCGCCAGACCTCGACCAACAACATGTAGCAGTGCTTGCTTAGAGTTGGTTGGTCTGGTGGATGCTCGTTGCCGAACTCTTGCTACTTTTTCGTACATTGCCAGGCACGGGTGCCGCTACAGTTTGGGATTTTTCGTGACAAAGGTGATCGTCGATTCCGAGGGAGTTGTTTGCAGACCATGGGTCTTACGGCGGTTGCTTGTTACCGTTGAGCTCGTTAATTTTGTCGGTAAGTTTTCACAATGGTTTTTCAGTCTGACCGCCGCCCCCCCCCCTCCCTTGGCATTTTCGTGTTTTCACGCGGCCGGCGAAAACAGGCTGTAGCGGTGGGCGCGGCAGTGCAGGGCCATATCCTCGCCGCCGGCGACGCGCGGACGGGAGGCGCCGACCTCGCCGGCACGACCGATCTCCTCCTTCTGGACGTGACGCCCCTCTCCCTGGGTATCGAACTCGAGGGCCGCGAGATGTCGGTGCTGATCAAGCGCAACACGACCATCCCCTGCCGCAAGTCGCGGTCGTACACCACGGTGGAGGACTGGCAGACGTCCATCGATGTCATCGTGTACGAGGTGCGGTCGTCGGTGCTCGCTTGCTTGCTTGCTTGTGCGGGACGTCATTACATTCGTCTTTTGTTTTTGTCCGGGATGTTGGCGGTGTTTGGTTGAAATGGTTTCGGCGGGTCGGCTGAAGAACTCCGGTGTCAACGGGGGGGATCGTTGTTTAGGGTTGATTTAATTTTACTCCCGCAAGGTCTTTCGAAAACGTTCGGCGCCCTGTAGCAACAAAGTTGTTCCTCGTCTCTGGCTGCGTGGTTTCCGAATGCAGGGAGAGCGCCGTTCTGTGGACTCGTGCAACAAGCTCGGGGAGTTCACCATTACCGGTGTGGAACGGGCGCGCAAGGGGGAACCCAAGGTGGGTGGAAGTGTACATTGTTTCGCTGCTGTGTTGTTTGCTCTTTGTTTTCGGTACGGACTCTGTTGTTCTATATCGGGCCCAGCTGACCCGACCCACCCTCAAGGTGTCAGGCAGCGAAGGACATGGGCAGTCGTGGTTATGCATTTGTGGATGGCTCGGGCGGCGTGACTCCTTCTCCGTTCCGTCTCCACGCGGTTCCGTACCAAGGATCTACGTGTCCGGCGTACGTGTCGTCGCCGACGAAGAGCCGGATAAAATCGATCAAGGCTCGCCGCCTGCAGAGCGAAATGTCTGACATGGACGACGCCTGCCGCCCGGCCGTCGGCCGACCGATGTGTTTACCGGCGGCATCACCGATTGAGGCGCAGCTCTCTTCAGAAGGAAAGACAAGCTGATGAGAGTGGGAGTGTTTGTACCGTACCGACGTTTCTACGCCCCCTTCACGCGGCAATGACCAATGGCCTCAACGAGAGCCCTCTCTTGACAACGGTCCGGGGGTGGGGATACTCGGAATGGCAGTTGCCCGGACGTCCGGGCACCAGCTTGGTGATGGCACACTCGTGTTCTCCGCCAGGCTGCCATCCACCTCTTGAGTAGGCAAAACATGCTCACACGAGTCTGAACCGGCACCGTCGTCTTGCATGTAGGGCCGTTTTCCTTTGCGCTCATTGTTCCCCTCCGCTCCCCTCTTTGCTCAACCGTTTGCGCGCCTCCGATGGCGACCGACGACAACGACGACATCAAAACGCCTGACCAGGTGGAGGTAACCTTTGCCTTGGACGCCAACGGCATCCTGGCCGTAACGGCGCAGGACACAGTAACGGGGGCGAAGGCGGGCGCGGAGATCAAGGCTAAGGATGGGCGACTGTCTGCCGACGAGATCGACAAGATGGTCCAGGACGCGGAGAAGCACAGGGCGCAGGACGACGAGCTTGCCGACAAGGTGCGTGCCCTCGCCCCTGTACACCCCTTTTTGTAACCGTCTTTATGTTTTATGTATCTTTGTATTTCTTCCACGTGTGGTAAAGATAACACGGGATATCAATTTTCCTCCTGCCGTGGTGGTGGTATTTAAAAACCAGTTTGGAGTTGACAAACGGCCACGTGTTGGCACGAGACTAGTGTCCCTCCATGCTTATTCCGTCCTGTTTGCCGACGCCTACCCCATCTCCTGCCCCACGCGCTTCCCATTTCTCAGATGACCATGCAGACGGCCTTGGAAGGGGCGGTCTACTCGGCTCTCAGCGCCGCGCGCACGAAGGGCGACGCCGACCAGGTGGCCGCTCTGGAGAACGTGCGCGACTGGCTAGACTACGACTCGACCAACGCCACCCTCACCGAGATGACGGCGAAAGCTGACTTCCTGAGGAACAACTTGGGCGTGGCGGTCAACGCTGACTAGTAGGGGTTGTCGTTCGACGTGATCTTCTCGCGGTTCGTCGGCTCGTCCCGTTCGTCATTTTTAGCATAAACGAAAGCTGATTCCTCCTTTTGAGAGGAAAAGTGGTGGGTTGGGTGAGTAGCGGGATAGAAGAAAGAAGCAGGGAGAGGTTTTGCGGGCCACGTTTAAATCAAGTTGTTGTGCTGATGGAGAGGAGAGAACGCGCGTCACACATATGTTTTATTTTTATTTTTATCCAGTCAGCGAACTTCGTGCCACAACTGGTATGTGCGAGGTATATGTGTCTGGTCAGGATACCAGCGATTTTGTAAACTCCCACGCGTAATTTGAAGTCAGGAACGTTGTCGGTGTCTCTTGCCGTTTTGTCCGTTCTGAAAGATTTAAAAATGTTGACGAATCCACACGCACAACCTCCATTCTCCTTTTTGTTCAACGATTCGGCGCGGATGGATCGTGAGATGAGGGCCAATGACGATGGCCATGTTTCCATTCAATCCTTCGCCGATAGAGCAACATTCGGCACATCCGGTAGTGTGCACTAGCCAACCGTTGGCGTCCTTGACGGAAACAAGCGTGCATGTATCGGTGCGCTCTGTTTCTTGAGAATTGGATCCGGTGGGTTTGCTACTGGAGCTGAAATATCGAAGGTCGCAGCAGTCACTGGAAATAGTCCGCAATCTTCACAATTGTCACAGCCGTGTTCACCGCCCTGGACCGTGAACCCCTGAACGGCGGTTAACAGAAGCTGGCCGCTGGAGTAAACGAGAGCCCTCGAGTAGCGTTCCTGCTCTTTACCATCACCACCTGTGCAAGAAAAAGTGTCGGCAATCCATCGTATGTTGCACGACATAACCTGCAAAAACACCCCTTAATGTGCGATGAGGTCCGCCCTACCACACAAGCTACCGGAATGCTCACGTGGGACTCTCGGGACACCGGACAACCACCCCCTCTCCCAAGTTTTGGTGTTTCGGGTGAAGTTATCGGACAGACAAGGACAAAACACAGAACGAGATGCGCTCGTTCTCCCGAGTCGAAGTATTATCTCCTGGTTATATCCAACTGTAGTCTGCATCCTGTGGGTACAACGTCAGGGATAGCATGCGACAAGGGTGGTTTTATGTGCACACGCTGCATCTAACGAGACCGACGTCTAGCGAGTTGGAGCAGCAATCGAACGCGAGTCCAACCACTTTTGAACGCTTTCGTTCCGAACCCACACCATAACCGCCCCTCCCGTCGGTGACACGGTTCATCTCGTCCCTGAAGTATATGTAGCCATCACCGTCCCGGGCGTTCCTAACCCTCTCAATTTGTTTCTTGTCCATGAACTTCTAAAGCGCTTCATACGATAAAGGCCCTCTCGTATCCCTTCGCAATTTGCGCCGATATTGTCGTTACCCAGAACAGCACGAAGGAGCGCCTCCTCATCGAGAGTGCGGTCGGTTAGCTCCTCGAACAACCCATCTTTCACGTCCTTGAGGAAATCCGAGATATTCACGTTCAGCCCTGTCGTTGCCTTCAGCGCCACCTTTGCGGTAACCACGGCCACCTAAAGGAAGAGAGGGCACGACCAAGAGGACAACAAAGAATCTACCAAAGCTCATCACCACTGACGGTTCAAAGGATTACGCCAGGAACCACAGCCAGCCTTGATAATCAAAGACTTGACGCCAGCAGCACGTTCTGTATTGGAATAATTGCTCGTGTGGAGTGTGACCTCAACAACATATAATAATGGGCTATGAAGTGTACCTTCTAGAACCCACGTGAAATAGTGCCTCTACCAATGGTAATGTTGTCCTAGCTGAAGCACAGGAGACATTTTCTTCACCCAGCTTCGCGTCTCCATAAATCGATAGCCTTCGCCACCATAGCCGCACGGCACCTTGGTCATGTCGACCGGGCACAAGAACTGCAGGGCCATGTCTTTCTCCCCCGCGCCAAGAAGCTTGCTCAGCATACTCTTCTTCTCAAGACCCTTCGACGCAGCGCCATCAGATTCAACCTCCTTGACGACCACAAGGCGCGGGTAACGGTAGTTCGGGGCTTGCAAGTGCCTGAGGCGCATGAGGCTTTCCTCGGTGCTCTCTATAGCACCTTGTCCAGCCTTCCCGATATCATGCCTAACTCATCCTTCACGTCACGCAACTTGGTCTTGGTGTCGTCGAACCCTCCCTCAATCTCAACCTTCATCTCGCAGAATCCTTCCTTCATCTCGCCCTTCACGCTAGTGAATCCTCCTTCCACCTCGATACATCCCGCCTTCATCCCAACCTTCACGTCGTTGAGTCCTCCCTCCATCTCAACCTTCACCTCATTGAACGCCCCCTGCACAGCTGCGGTCACGCCGTCGATCTTTCGAATCAACTCGCCCTCCTCCTTGGAGTGATCATGCTGCGTACAAACATGACGCAAGGACCAGTACAGGACGGCATAGTCCATAGCTTCAACAAATGCGCGCCCCGACGAAAAAGAACCGCAATAATGTCGGTTCACAGAGGTTGCAGAGACACTTTTTATGAGCCAGGCAGGATGGCCAGGGGATTGCAATGTGGAAGAGGCAATGTCAGCGTATGCCTCCAGCGCACCCTTTCCGAACGAGGGTAGAGTGATAGACGTCACAGAAGTGAAGTTGTACTGCTGTTGCTACCCATGCCATTGGACCGTGATGGTGTCGTGCAATTGCCGCAAGCAAGGAGCGACGGGACACGGCAACATCAAGGTCGTGCCTCCGATTTTTCTCTCTACTCCACACAAGACCAAGCTACCGAACATACAAGCCGCACACCAAGCCGGTCAGCGGACAAATGCCCGGTGAGGGTGACGGGTGGGTGGGCTTCGAGATGAATCAACATTGCAGAAGCTCAAATGAATCGCCGCATGCTACGAGCAGCGGCGTGAAATCACTCCAATAATACCTGATGACAAACCGAATCGCCGAAAGGCCACCGAAACAGGCCAGAGCTCGATGCTAGCTAGCGGGTTCGTCCGTTCTGGTCCACAATGGGCACAGCTTGTCCATGGAAGAACAAAAACTGATGTCGGGTTTTCTCCATCGGATCATACAGGAACACACGTTGATGCGGCAAAACCACTCCGATCACTTTGGTTGCGCACTTCTTAATGTACAATCAGAGACGTGCAATCCGTTCTCACCGTCGGGCAAGTGAAGGAGTGCGGACTTTCAAGGTCGTCGAACCTTGCCTTCACCTTCTTGAAAATCACGTCTGCCGTGGAAAATTGAGAGGAAGAACTAGGTCAGCATGCCCTAACTATTACTCTCTTGCTCACGACGAGATGCTCGCAAAGCGGATGCCCCTTCGGTAGCCCGCGAGAGGTCACGACAACGGTCGAAACTTGACCGGGCCGGAGCCATCGAGTTAATTCCTCCGTGTGGCCTACATTGCATTACGCACAACGATGTTGTGAGCACGAGAGTCAGTCTCAAGGACGACCCCGCCAGGGTGCAGACAGCGCGACAGAACTACAACCTCCGGCCCCCAGTGCGACACTCATACAACCTATCAGTAGCCCTTCGGCTGGACTCACGGATCAACGAGGACAACAAACTGACGCTGATTTTGGCAAAAGCATACATGTAGCCAAACATTGCCCAGAATGTGGGGATCAATGCACAGGTTGGAGCGATCGAACAGGATTGGGGAAAAACAAGGGTGTGAAACTATATATATCGGTTTCACGTAGGGGTCGGAGTTGACGCACAGGATTGCGAAGACTTCAACAAAAACCCACCAGTAGCCTATCGGCCATGAGGTTGGTGACATCGCGAGTGGGTCCCGTGAGCTGCAACCAGTTATTTCACGCATTTCTCTGACAGTTTGTTGTTGGGCCCCACAGCCGTATGCGTTGCAGCGTGAGGGCGCACACGTAGAACGACAAGAACGTACTGGTACCTAACCCTCATCCAAACACATGAAAAAGCAAACATTCCGTGATCTAAAACCTTGCCACAGCAAAGATAAAGCTGGAAAGGAAATTGATCAACTTCAGCATAGAGCCGGCAGTTCTTCGTTCTCCACACACCGCCACAAGCACAATCTCTGTCTACCATGCTAGTAGCCACTCGTAGAGCGACTCTACCGAGCTGTACCGCTTGTGTGCAAAGTTGTGTGTATTGCATGCGCTCGATTGCTATATGGGAACGCTCGCAGATCTGCTGCAGCGGTACACAGATATTTAGTAAAGGTTTGCCCGTTGTGATGTTGAGATCACAGAGGGCGAGGATATTCCCGAGGATAGAAACAAAAATACGGGCATCTGATGCGATCTTATTCAGTATGGCACAAATCTTAGTTGTCGAGCAGGGGTGTGCCCAAACCTAGCGGAACCAAACGATTGAAATCTGTTACCGTTGGGATGGCGGCAATCGCACAAGTGGCGGACATCGCACCCATGAAGACACGCAAATCGAACACCCGTGGGCTCACTCGCACTTGCACGGTACTCCAAACTCGACATTGCTCGTGCATACCTCGGTCCAAACGGATGTCGACGAAATGCCAGAGATCGACAGCCGCGGTCCCGAGTCCTCCGGTATCGGCACTGCAGTGTGGGTATCTACTGCCTTCCAGAAAATTGTCTCCATCTCTAGTCGCCTGACAAGTGGGATGCAACACCTGTCACCGTCAATACTGTACGCGAAAAACTTAAGCTCGCATCTCGATCCGAGCATTGTCTCAAACATCTTCATGTCTTGGAAAATGATGGAACGGCGATAAATCCACTCGGAAGCGACGCCCAGCAGCAACATAATCATGCAAGTCTGATACGTCAAACACTACCGCCTGTGCCGCATGCACGAGTACACAGTCATCAAACAACAATAAACGGTGAAACTGAGACTCGTTTTCATGCAGCCGCGTGCTTTTCTGGATGCATCACGTTTCCGAAGACATTCAGATAGCAAAGGTTCCGGCTAAAATACCACCATCAAAGCAAAAGCCCGACAAAACAGAACCCGTGCGATTTGACACCTGCTCAAGTCTCGCTGTGCGTTGGCGTTAGTTGCTCTGCTCCCAATTCTCGAGATCGTCACATCTAATGGGATTCCCATGAGCACAGCGCTACGGAGAAACAAATACCCTCCCACTGCTGTATTCGCACAAAGGTACACCATACTGGAACATACTGGGACATGGGACACAATGTGCCATTGTCGATTGGACGAATACACCACGGCAATTCCCACACGGGATTGACTGTTTCCAGAACCGGGCATTTCGAGCGACAAGAAGTATATACGCTGCGTAGGCATTCATTGGTCCACATACTATTCACGTGTTTGACGGCTTACCTTGTTCACAAAGAGCATCCTGTCACCATGCTGAGGACAAATCAGAGAGCCCTTCCAGCGCAGTCCTGGAAAATCCACCAGCATGAAGCTCACTGCAGACATGACGTATGACATCGCCACCCACGGCCCTGGAGTGTTTGATATCGCCGAAAATTTGAGCAATAGTCTAAGCTCGTTGTCGATGGACGAGCATTCCACCACCACAGCAAATGTCCTGCGCTCATCTTGCACGCCGAGGCCGCCATGTATAAGCACCCCGTATCGCCAGAATGTTGCACACCACCAAGACTGCAGCACCGTGTCAACACCTTTTCGATCGCACCAGGCGGTACACCGAGGAAGATCTTCCAACAACTGGCGCGGAATGCCGGGGTGAGCCCCGAGCAGCAGGTATCGATCACTTTGCCCACACTCTCGGGGCGGTGTGGCTGTAGCCTTAACAGAAGAAGTACCAGGCCCTCAGCAGGATCGTTTTCGAGTGGGAAAGTGAGACCCAAGGATGCAACAGTCGGCAGCACATAGTCGGACAGGCCATCCGGCCGCATGGCATTCGCCAACCTCGGTTCAAGCACGCCCTCCTTCTTGAGCCTGTCCCATGAAGCGATGTCTGATGAATCGTCGAGGGTGATACATGTGTCGCCCGTGTCCCCAAGATTCACAAGGCCGTCAAACATCTCTTGGTCCTTGTGGTTGAGGAAGGGCTTGAGGATTCTCGCCAGCCAAACGACGCCCAGAAAGACAAATTTCTCGTGTCGAACGAGGGACCCGTGCACAACATTGTGAAGCCAAATGTTCGAGTCGGAAAATCCGCCCGGGAGGAATCCAAAGTCCAAAATCCATGCGGAGTCTTCGAGGGAATCATGGTTGCAACGTCTTTGTCGACAGGACCAACAAAATACTCTACACGTAGACATTGAAGCTTGCTGAGCGATCATGTACACCGAACTGCAGCGATGCCGTACCTAACATTGGCCATAGGCTCTAGGGCGTGTTGAAAAAGGAGGTCACCATATCGAAACGTCGATTTGATCCATTCGATGTACCTGATGGAGAGAGCTCCTTCCAAAGCATTCTCGGCGTTTGTGACCGTGATCCCTCTCCTCCCAAGCTCATCAACAGTTTCTCAACCGTAATCCCCTGATACACGGTTGTCCTTGCTGTAACTGTTTCTGTTGCACATTTGTCACTGTCGAAGGACTTGAGCATTACCATCTCCACCGGATTTGTGGGCAAGCAGCATTATTAACAAATTAATAGGTTCAAACGCCTTCATACCTCCGGACTGTGCATCTCGTGGGCGCTTGTGGAACGCTCCATACAGCCTTGTGCGCACTCTGGAAGTATCAGAGTTGACGCAATGCCATGAGAGAGGTCAAAGCTCCACAATTGAACCGTTTTGGCAAATGCGATGCAGCAAAACTTGAAGGTCTAGAGTTGTTGTTGTTGTTGACTTCACATTAAACCGTAGGCCAGTTGCTAAATAAATGCCAAAATCTAGCAAAGACTCTCAGCCCGTGGTCACGAAAGTGCTAGAGCCATCTATCTGAGGATCTAAATAAAGAACACGCACACGTGGCAAGAAAAAGGTATCCAAGAGCCCGAAGAGGTACTACTACACCTATATATAATCCCTGCAGCACCGTACGCGTGCCCAAAACTGAACTACACGTCCGTCTCACCGTTCAACATCACCCCCTACCGTACCAAAACGAATGATTGCCGACTACAGCATGCTTGCTGTCTGAAGTGCTGTCTGTACAAAAACACCATGGTAGGCATGGAACAAGAAGCTGGCGGGGCACAAAGCTGCTGTCTGAAGTGCTGTCAGAATGTGTCTGCGGACGTACAGTGAAAAAGAACAACCAACCAAAGCCATGATTGCAATGGACAATCACCCGAA